TGTAATATTTCTACTTGTGTGATGTAGAAGATAATTATCAAAGTATGTAATTATGTAAGAATGTTAACAGTCTGTAATATTTTTTAGTATATCACTAGCGTGGTGTAGAACAAAATTATCTATGTAGTAATACTGCTTGCAAACCAATGATGGTAAGATGATGTTATGGGGTAGGACTAGATAAGTCTAACTTCTTCCTACTCCGTTCAAGCATGTACTAGGTATAAGCAAATTGATAATGCATTTGTGGATATGTGTGAAATTATGTGTGGTTACATATTGACTGTCGTTACATGTTTGAAAGAATAAATCAAATCAAATCAAATCAAATCATTATATTGGTTTCCAACTGTTGATAGTGTCTTGGCATTGATTAGTGTAGGACAAGGGAACATTTGTGGGGTAAAACCCCAGAAAACATCATTCTAACCCTATACCCATATACACAAACCAACTTTTAGCCTTAATGGTGCATGTACTATACGTATATAAGTTGTAAATCTTTACTTGTGTGTTTTGTTGTATTGTGTAGGTGTTGTGCTGTGTAGACAAGCAGGGTATTCTGTCGTGGCCTAACCCCAGTCCAGAGACTGTGCTGTTCTTCAGCGGACGGGTCGAGCCACCTCACAACAGCCAGGATGATCTCAGAGATGACCTGTCTGTCAACTCTTACTGCCGAATTGAGACAGATGATGACAGGGATGAGGTGTGTGTGTGTTTTCCCAGTCAGTGTTTAGTCTCGCCAGCAGTCTGACTGTAGGGATTGTTACTTGTAGTTTGAAAAATACTAATTGAAATTTTACTTGTTAATTTTAATATAGACTGACTAGGGAACGCTAATATTCAGAAATGTATTGCCTTATAATGCAGTGTTTTATCCACTCATGATTAGTTATGACTGTTGTACAGGCCCAGGAGGCAGAAGCGCTGCTTTGCCTACCAGCAGAGTCCTCCACCCAGCGCGGGGAGAGACCCGAGCCCAGCGAGACCTCACATGATACTGCTCGCTCGACTGACACACTCCGACTTCAGCATCTCTGTCAGCCTGCTCGCAGTCGTACCAAACACCACTCTGGATCCAACGTGAGCTTCAGCCATGACACTGAGGGAGGCGAGGACAGCCAGGTACAGGTAAAAAGTGTGCCTGAAACTGTAGAAAGAAGTTGGGAAAGTAGGAAATATATTGTTGATTCAAAAAGTTGATATTACTTTACAGGGTGATGCTGTCTTAAACACAGAACTATCACTCTTTTGTTTTTTCGTTTCTGTCCCATTTGTCTCCAGGACTTTGCAATGGGCTGCCCAGAAGCAGAGGCTGAGGACTTTGTGTGTGACTACCACCTGGAGATGCTGAGCCTGTCGCAGGACCAGCAGAACCCAGCCAGCATCCAGTTTGATGACCTCTCCTGGCAGTGCCACCTGCCGTCCCTCAAGCCTCTGGGCCTCAACATCATGCTGAACCTCTGTAACACCAGCGTCACCCAGCAACTCTGCCAGTTCTCTGACCACCTGTCCAACCTGGCTCTGCAGGAAAGCCATGGCACTGTGCTGCCTGTCTCCGTCCCCTGGGGACTCTGTGAGCTCTCCAGGCTTATAGGTGAACTTGTAATTATCTAGTCTAAAATAAGCTAAGATGATCTTTTTTTTGTCCACAAGAGAGGAAATTTAGTTTGCGGCCAGGTGAATACAGACAAACGACAGCAATAAAAACAAGAAACATTATCAGTCGCACAACATATCAACAAAAAAAAAACCCTCAGACCATTGGCTGAGACATTTTCAAAATTTATTTCAGTTAGTCAAATTTGTAACAAGAATTTAGCAGGCCACCATCACTGAGACAAAAAAGGATCTCTTGGTCCTTGTGACAGGAACCCTCAAACAATGAACAGATGGAAGTAAATCAGATTCATTAAACAGCGGACATGAGCTAGAATAGCCTCAGCCTTCTTATCCTAACACCTAAATTGGGGTTTTCTAGGATTGTGTCTATGCTATGGCCTATTTTGGCCTCACTTTTTGTTAGATATAGGAAAATGCAATACATTATAGATCATATTCAGGTAGTTCATTAACCTTTTTTTTAAGAGGGAAATGATGATGTCATCTGCCATGAATTAACCCCAGAATAAAGCCTTTTCCTTGAGTTAATGTCTCTGTACAATGAGCACACACCTTTACATACTGTGGTTTTGATTATAAGTTCCACTAACAACTAGTCTGACATACTGGGACAATAGACTGGCTGTACAGTTTCACCAATAAGTAGCACTATATATGAAAAAAGGCAGTATGCTATTACTGTCACATACAGTAGTAACAGTACTACAGATTTTTTTTTACCATATTATGCATGTTTAGGGGAATGCTGTTTACATTCATCATGCCGGTTATCGGTAATTTTCTTTGTCTTCATTTAGAAGTAGTGGTTCTGTGGAATTGCATAAAATCGTACTCCATTGGGCAGTGCTAAATACTGCGTATTGAAACATGTTGGCAATAGCGCCACTGTGTGGCCAGTTATGAAACTTTTAAATCTGTAAATGTTTCAAACTGTCTTACTCTGATATTCTTACAGCTAGAAACACACTTCCGCTAAGCAAAATCATAAAAATATCTTGACAGTAGTTTTGATTGTGAAAAGGATTCACTAACTGTGATTTCAGCTGTGCTGTAATCAAACAAGGTGAGAGGTTGCTGTGAGAACTTAGCTCCTGACTGGTAGATATTATGCAAACTCAGCTAAGGATGTACATAATTTAAAAGATGATCAATATCACTTGTACTTGATGATACAGCGATATTGTTTAAGTGAAGAAAGCTAAGTTTTCAGTACCAAAGTGAATGAGGTGTAAAAATCGAATGGACAGTAACTCATTATTCTCAACTTTTCCCGGGGGTGTCAGGGTTCACTCCTGGTGCAAGAGAGCTGTTCAAACGGGAGAACCACTTAGCTTTGTACCAGCTGCCATCTGGAGAGAAAACCAAGGAGTTGACCTCCCGCTGCCTTCATCACTTCACCAAACGCCAGCCTCCCATCTCCCACCTCATCTCTCTGCTTGTACGAGACTCTTCCTCCAGTGAGTCTGTTCATACTTCAGTATACCTACAGTGTATGTCATTCTTCTTTGTTAATGAAATAGTTGTTTAATGAAAAGAGCTTAAGAGCTTTTTTTTTTCTTCTTACATGTCAGTGCTTCCCACACAGACTGTACTTGGGCGCAGCTCCCAGGTGCAACATTAACAGCTTCTATGCTAGGTTAGGTTTTTTTAATCTGTCTGAGAAAACACAGCTGTGATTTTTTTTTTTTTTTGACAAGAAGACAATTACTCGCTGCTATCAATTTTCTTTTTTTAAACAATTTTAAATTGGTAAAATCTTTCATTTCATTGTAGAGCTCAGCTCAGCTGCTCCATGCCCAGTGCTCATGCACACATTGACAACCAAAGTCAGCAGTGTTTTTTTTTTTTTTTGGTACACAACGCTGTCAGTTGCGGAGATCCAACTTTTCCGAGTCTTCTAATGAGTTATTAGCAAGCTAGTAAGGCTGCCCAAGCTAATGTTAGAATAACGCAGTTGTGGCCAAGGTTAGTACATTGTATATAGCATGGATGTACATGGACTGCTCTGCAACTGAATAAAGTTAATGCTAATTCTTAAACTCTGATGCTGAATGTTTGCTCCCCCAGTTCAGGGAAATACTGAAAAATATTTTCCTTGTCTTAAAAGGACACATCCTGTTGAGGCGTTTCTCTCTCACATACACACAAACACATGACAATGGACCATCTGTGAACGGCTCCTCCTCTGTTTTTTAACACAACACTGTCAAACTCAGAGATCCAACTCTTCTACTAAGTTATTAGCAAGCTAGTAAAGCAGACTGAGCTAACATTAGAATACAGCTATTGTCAAGGTCAGCATGCTGTCTATAGCATGGATATATGGACTGCTCTGCAAGTGGATAAACTTAATGCTGGTTTATAGATTGATGTTGAATCTTTGCCTCCTCAGTACAGGGGAATATTGGAAAACATGCATTGGAAAGCTGATCAGTGAAATCAGTGTGATTAGCAAATTTTTTTTAAATAATAATGGGATAAATAATGGGCGAGCTAGTGCAAAGACAGGTCAGGTGAACAGTATTATGGCATTATTATTATTAATAAAAAAAAAAAAAGTATGCAATCATCACCCCCCCAAGCTAGCACCACAATTTGAATGGAATTCTGTAAGAAACATTGTACTGTATGTAATAAATTAGAAGTAATTTATGAAAGCGTGTGTGCGTCACCCCCCACCCCAAGCTACCACCACAAGTAGAATTTAATTCTGTGATTAAACACTGTATGTTCATGGTTCTTTTTTGTGCTAATTGTACTTTGCCTCTTCCCTTTGTCCTAATGTATGAGGTTAAAAAGATGAAGTTAAAGAGGGCATTTCTTTTTGTTGTGATGCCTGCTAATGTTAATGTCCGGTCAATCTGTTGTAGATAACATCCAGATGCTGTCCCATGGCTCTGCTGACCTTATCCTGGAGGCCTGCACAGACTTCTGGGATGGAATGGATATCTACCCCCTATCAGGCTCTGACAGGTACAGCATCTGTTGCACGTCATGTTGCTATAAATCTGGAGTTGCATAAAGTATCAAAGACGTAGCACAGTTAGCACTGGTTTTATTCCAAAAATTCCCTTTCTGTGTTACAGAAAGAAGGTTCTGGACTTCTACCAGCGTGCCTGTCTGTCAGGTTACTGCTCAGCCTTTGCCTATAAACCCATGCAAGTATCATTATCCAGTCAACTGAATGGGAAGTGTGTAGAGCTGGCCCCTGGTCCCTGCCTCTTCTCTGGATTGGAGCTGCCCTCCACCACCCCTATCAAACACACTTCTTGTAGGAACAGCTGGAGCTCAGATGGTACAAGTTAGTGACAGAGGGATGGATACTTAATGCTATACTTCAATAATAATATACCTTTTTTTTTCCTTTGTCCTCTCCTTTCATTGGCTTTCCCCCATCATGTCTGCAGAGGGTATAGGTGAGGGGTTAGAGCGTGAGGACTGTGTTCAGGCTCTGAGCGGGCAGATCTTCATGGGCATGGTGTCATCTCAATTCCAGGCGAGGCTGGACACAGTTCGGCTCATCGATGCCCTGGTCACTGCTTGCATTCGTTTTGTTTATTTTTCAATGGAGGATGAGCTCCGCAGCAAGGTGAATGCACACAAGCATCTAGTTTAGGTTGGTCAAAATGATTGAGGTATAGTAATCTTGCCTTTTACTGAATAGAATAGAATAGAGTTTATTGTCATTAGTCGTGTGTAAAGCAATTAGTATGCTCTTGACCAAAACAGAGTGCAATAAAGACCATCAAACAAAAAGATATAAAAACAATTGCTAAACAGTAAAAACTAGAGAAATGCATTTCCTGTCAAATGCGTGTGGATGCTAATAAAAGCTGAAATATCATCCTGAAAATGCCTGAAATCAATTGCTGAAACAGCTGAAAGATGAGAAGAAAGGGCTGAAGTTCTTTGTTGAAACAGTTGAGAAGAAATAGCTGAAGTTCTTTGTTGAATAATCTGAAGGATAAGATGCAATAAAGTAGGAATGGCCTTGAAGAGCTGAACATTTTGATACCTGAATGGCTTTTCTAGCTGAAGGTATGCTGAACTTAAGATGTGAAAATAGTCCAATAGGACTGTTAGAAATTAACCCAATTCTTTTGTTGGAAGCACGAGAAGTGAAGACAGGAGAGGACTGTTTAAAATCAACAGAAAGTTTACTGAAAGCCTGATCACAGGTAGGTCTTACAGCGCTGGATTCAGAGAGACAGAGCTCCCGCAGGAAATCCAGCTTCTAAATCCTGAATTAAGTTTTTACAACACATTTACAGACGTGGACAAAATTGTTGGTACCCTTCTGTTAAACGAAGAGAAACTCACAATGGTCACTGAAATAACGTGAAACTGACAAAAGTAATAATAAATAAAAATTTACTGAAAATTAACTGACAGTCATTGCTTTTGAATTGTGGTTCAACAGAAGCATTTAAAAAAAACAAACTAATGAAACTGGCTTGGACAAAAATGAAGGTACCCTTAATATTTTGTTCCACAACCTTTTGAGGCAATCACTGCAATCAAGCGATTTTTGTAACTCCCAATGAGACTTCTGCACCTGTCGACAGGTATTTTGGCCCACTCCTCTTGAGCAAACTGCTCTATCTGTCTCAGGTTTGAAGGATGCCTTCTCCAGACTGCATGTTTCCGCTCTTTCCACAGATGTTCAATAGGATTTAGATCAGGGCTCATAGAAGGCCACTTCTATGAGCCCTGTCCAATGTTTTCTTCTTAGCCATTCTTGGGTGTTTTTAACGATGTGTTTTGGGTCATTATCCTGTTGAAGGACCCATGACCTGCGACTGAGACCAAGCTTTCTGACACTGGGCAGCACATTTCGCTCCAGAATGCCTTGATAGACTTGAGATTTCATTGTACCCTGCACAGATTCAAGACACCCTGTGCCAGATACAGCAAAGCAGCCCCAGAACATAACTGAGCCTCCTCCATGTTTCACAGTAGGTACAGTGTTCTTTTCTTTGTATGCTTCATTTGTGCACCTGTGAACATAGAGCTGATGTGACTTGCCAAACAGTTTCACTTTCGTCTCATCTGTCCAAAGGACATTCTCCCAGAAGCTTTGTGGCTGGTCAATATGCATTTTGGCAAATTCCATTCTCGCTTATTTATGAGTTGCTTTCAACAGTGGAGTCCTCCTCGGTCGTCTTCCATGAAGTCCACTGTGGCTCAGACAGCGACGGATGGTGCGATCTGACACTGATGTACCTTGACCTTGGAGTTCACCTCTAATCTCTTTGGAAGTTGTTCTGGGCTCTTTGGTTACATTCGCATTATCCGTCTCTTCAATTTGTCATCAATTTTCCTCTTGTGGCCACCTCCAGGGAGGTTGGCTACAGTGCTGTGGACCTTAAACTTCTGAATAATATGTGCCACTGTAGTCACAGGAACATCGAGCTGCTTGGAGATGGTCTTATAGCCTTTACCTTTAACATGTTGGTCTATAATTTTCTTTGTAATCTCCTGAGACAACTCTCTCCTTAGCTTTCTGTGGTCCATGTTCAGTGTGGTACACACCATGATACCAAACAGCGCAGTGACTACTTTTCACCCTCTAAATAGGCAGACTGACTGATTACAAGTTTGAAAACACCTGTGATGCTAATTAGAGGACACACTTTAGTTTGTCTCTATGGTCAAATTATTTTCAATCCTTTCTAGGGTACCATCATTTTTGTCCAGGCCAGTTTCATTAGTTTCTTTTTTTAAAAGGATTCTGTTGAACCACAATTCAAAAGCAATGACTGATTTTCATTCGTTAATTTAACACATCGTTAAAAACACCCAAGAATGGCTAAGAAGAAAACATTGGACTGTTCTGAAGTGGCCTTCTATGAGCCCTGATCTAAATCCTATTGAACATTTGTGGAAAGAGCTGAAACATGCAGTCTGGAGAAGGCATCCTTCAAACCTGAGACAGATAGAGCAGTTTGCTCATGAGGAGTGGGCCAAAATACCTGTCGACAGGTGCAGAAGTCTCATTGGGAGTTACAAAAATCGCTTGATTGCAGTGATTGCCTCAAAAGGTTGTGGAACAAAATATTAAGGGTACCTTCATTTTTGTCCAAGCCAGTTTCATTAGTTTGTTTTTTTTAAATGCTTCTGTTGAACCACAATTCAAAAGCAATGACTGTCAGTTAATTTTCAGTTAATTTTTATTTATTATTACTTTTGTCAGTTTCACGTTATTTCAGTGACCATTGTGAGTTTCTCTTCGTTTAACAGAAGGGTATCAACAATTTTGTCCACGTCTGTATCCTCTTAGGCTGCTTCGCCCTGGACAGGGATGCAACCTTTAATAGTTTGTGATCCTATTGGTCATTTGGTGTGAGTAGGTCAACCCCTGCCTGCGCTTGCTTGCTGATATGTGATCTAGACCAGGTTTGTGTGTGTGTGTGTGTGTGTGTGTGTGTGTGTGTGTGTGTCTCCGGCACCCAGATTTTGATATCAAGGCGCA